AGGAATCTTCCCTTCAGGATTACGCTGCATCTTGAGCTTCACCAGGCTGGAGGGATGGACAGCAGCCCATCAGTCTTAGGGCTGGCAAGCCAACCCCATGGGCTGGGGCCAGGGGAGCAGGCACTTACATCTTGTCTAGGAAAGTGCTGCGGGAAGCATTGACTGTCATCGGGTGCTTGGCCAGGGCCAGTACATCCTCAGCCCAATCCTGCAGGACCACAGACCAGCAGTCAAACTCCTGACCACAGGTGTCCCTGAGTCCCCTCAGCCCAGGCCTATGACTCTCAGGAAGCTCAGGCTGCCCCAGGTGCCAGGACTCCGCCCAGGTGTTCCCTATGCACCTTGCCCACGTTTTCCTTGTAAGAGACAAAGTTGTGGAAGGTAAGGTCCACCATGTCAGGGCCGGACACAACCGTGAGTGCCTTCAGCAGAAAGTGGTCATCTGGAAAATCCATGTTGAAGACCTCACGGAGTTTCTGGCTCTGTAGGAAGCAGTAGCATAGTAAGAGTCAGAACCATGCTCTCAGTTTTGCCCAAAATGGCCCTCCCATCCCTCCCCATCAGCCACTTGAACTACAGGCCACTAGGGCAGAATGCCATGTCTATCTTAGGAGCCATGGGCCTCAGCATCTCCCTGCCCCTGGCTTTATCAGGTGGCATGGGGAGGGGAGGCATACAGGAAGAGACTGGCTAAGGCATTAGTGCCTGGAAGTCCTGGGTATTTTGTTTTCTCCTTTTGTCTGAAGCTAGATCTTAGCGCCCAGCTCCGAATCCTGCTTCCCATCAATCCCTTAAATTTTCTTACCAGTATTAAGCAAATGTATGCAAACCAGTCAATGAGGGATGGGGAGTGAGGGGTAAAATCAACACCTCCCAGACAGTCTGGGATAGCTAGGGGCAGAAGTTGGCCCCTCCTCCCACCCCCTTGTCATCTCAGCTCACTATGCCCAGTCCCATAATCAGAACCCAGGCAAGCTCAGCAGCAGCCACAGCACCCCTTCTTTGGCCTGAATAGTCTCCTTGCTGCCTAGCAGCCCAGAAACTGTCCCCCTTGTTCCATAGATAGGTTTCTCATCCCCCCACAGAGGCTTGTTCCTTTCCCTATGGAACTGGTAGCTTCCTTGATCCTAGGCTGCTTCTGGGCCCACCTACCTTGGGCATCTTGGCAAACTTGCCAAAGCGGGTGTCTCGGATGTTAGTGATATCCAGAAACTCCATCTCCTGGTGGCAGTTCCCAATGGGAGAGAGGGACATAAAGGTCAGGTTGAGAATGGAAAGAGGGGAGCAAAGAGCTTCCACACCCCTTCAAATCTAGCCAGCTCTAGATGCCAAGACTGTCCAAGATTACCTGGACCCTTCCCTTTCTACTGATCAGTTCCTCCCTATTTGTGGGGATCCTCTTCTCTTCTTCTTGCCCCCCCC